TCGTATGAATTAACGGCATATCATTGCATAATCGCAAAAGAGGCTACGACATTGAACGCAATAGGGAAGCATATAGCTTTATGTTAAGAAAAATTAAACATACAAGAGTCTTTATTACCCATGTTTTAGTAAACACTAAAACAACATGTCAAAATATAATTTGAAAAAGGAATCCGTTAAATATTTAAAGATCGAATTCGAAGTAAAAACGTTATGGTTAACGGTGTTCCGTGACCCATCTGACGTAAATATATTTTTACGCGCTGTATCGCAAGACGAAGTTATAATTTTGTAACAAAGCATTGAACATAAAGAAAACGCTTCTATGGATGCGCTTGTGAATGAGAAAGACACGTCTTTGATATAGATATCGTGCTAACTTTGTGGTTATAATGACAACAGTATTGATCGGACACATACCTTGACTGATTATTTTTGTCGTTCTCCATAACATCTCTTTTCATAGGAAATTGCATTTAGAAAGGGAGTATTTAAAATATAACCCACGAAAAACTTATAACTTATCATATATTCGTTTAAATTGCACAATAGTCTCGTAAAAATATATAAAAAATTTAGTAAAATAACCACAATTCGTTAACATTCGTTACAATCAAAAGCAGATTTTTCCTCTTTCAGTCTTGTTTACGCTAATCATAACAAGTAAGAGAGAGACACAAAATAGGAACAGTGAGTAAACTTATCAGAATGTTAGCAACGTCCAGCGCCATCTTTAAAAGGATGTTGAATATTTTCAATCATAGACAAAATGTTACCACTGCAAAAACAAATTGCTTATTGGAATTCGAATAAGAAATTCATATTTCGTCGATTTATAAAAAAATGTGTGTACTAAAGTATTCATTTTAAGGCAGGCTTGGCTTCTAGTTCGATTTTTTTGTCTAATTAATTTAACAACTAACAAAACAGTAAAATTAGTTTTGTTACTAAATACCAGAGACGATGTTGTATCTTTATATCTATTGCAATAGCTTTTCATTCTATTTATTCAACAAATTACCTTATTTTATAATATTTACCAATTAATTAAGTATTTTAACGTTAAAAAAGGTCTTGCAAAAACATTTATATCATGTAAAATCAACGATATAAATAAATTTTATTTATTGTATATCAGCGTGAAACGTTCGTATCAAGCGAGCGATTATTCCGTCTAAATCTAGAATGTTTACATTTTAGGGGAATTAAAAATTAAATATTAATATACAAATTTAATCTTATAAGATTCAAGGATAGAAAGGAATATAAAGTTTGTAATTTGTACACATTTCCTTGGATGCAGGGATGCAGGTAAGAAATGAATCGTTGTAAAAAAACCTTGCTATTGTGATAGCTTATCAACGACCCTTAGTTCGTTAATTCTTATTCTGTAAACAGGCAAGCGAAACTTTTATAATCTGTGCTACAAATTGAACGCAAACGGAGATCCTCCATCTTGAAAATTGTGTATCTATCTCACTCATAACTTTCTCTATAATTTTTGGGCTATTTAAAAAAAAACATAATGCATATGAATAAATTGTGATTTAAAAATGTATTATTTCTTTCATTTAAAGTTTGGATTATAAATAAACAACAATGTAATCTAGTTAATTTAAGTATGTAATTAAAAATTTACAATTTATTTGTATTCATCATGAAAACACACCCCCCCCCCCGACAACGATGTCCTCCGCCATTAAACCAAATAGTATATAAAATAAGAGACGGGACTCTAGACTAATTAGATACACAAACGGAGAATAAAAATTTACATTTTCAATGCTAGCAATATTATGAACAAGTCTACGTTGTTACAAACCTAAAAAAATCTATCTGTCAGTTTCCTTTTTGACGTTTGAAAGTATTATTTGAGGGACAAATAAAACTATTTCGTTAATTGCAACTTTAATTTAATCTTCTGACTAAAGCGAACATATTTTAAGAACGCAACATAATGCTCATTGCTTTCGTAATAATACCATTATTGTTTAGTTCACCAACAAAATACCCCAACTATAATAAATGCTTATTTGTTCCAGTTTGTTTATTTGACAGCTCATATTTTCTGATAGAACTGGAGTAGTAGTGCCACTCTCGTCGGGAGAAATAGAATAGCACTGGAAAGAGATTAGCTCCTATCTGTTGGTAAAATATTTAGAAAATTGCTAACAAGACGATATGCATTGGAGCAAAACAAATCGTCATCATCAAGCTCACTATACGGACACACTATATTCCACTGAGGAGCTCGAAGCCTACCTTTAAGAATGCGACTAGGTTTTATTCAACAACGCAGAGCCAGTGAGGGTTGGTTGACTTCACACATATCTTTGAATTTCTGTGCAGTTGTATGCGATTTGTAATTACAGTAAGAATGTCGGATGGATGTTATCATGAAATTCGAAGAACGCATTACTATATAGCGGAGATCGTACCTGGATATGTAAAATATGATCCGGTCAAGCGCCAACTGCACTGCCGATGCTCCAAATAGTCCCCTAACCCAAACTTTTCCTATCAAAACATTGCAAATGTAAAAGTCATGTTAAATATAATGTAATGTATAAATAGAATACAATATTTAAGTTTTACTTCTCAAATAAATTCATAAAATTATCATGAACCTAAAGATTCCGCATATTAACTCTTTTGTTATTACTATTCTCCATAGATGTGTAACCTATAGATTCCTTAACGAGGAAAAATAATGAGCTTAGGAGGCATCATTTTGGGGAAAAGTACCTGTGTTGAAATTTAAATTACTTGTAAGAAAATTGTATACAATCTGTTTATTTTTTATTACTTAGTTAAAAAAAAGTTTAAGATATTATATAAGTTGCGATATTTGTAAAATCCAAATTTAATAATTTAATTTTGTTTCATATTTTTCACTAAATGGTATTTCTTTTATCTTTTGTACTTGATACTTAATTCCCTATATTTTAGTATATTTTTATTTTCTATACACTGCATTTCCCAATTTCGAGAAAATCTTATTATGTAAGTGTATATTTTATATTAAAGTCTAATACATATTTCTAAAAATTGTCATAATATTAACATCTAACTAATATAAAGCACTAAATTATAATATAAATAATGTATAGGTTACACATCTATATATCAATATTGACATTAATATGCTAGTGCATTTCCTGCAACATGGCGACTCTTTTTTAGATTTGCGGTTAAACTACTCCATATAATAAGTTATTTTTCAAAATTTAATTTAGAATTACAATATTTCAAACAATCAAACTTTGTAGCACAGATGTTGCAGCGACATGCAGTCAGTAATTCTGAAGCAGATTCCTTCATTTAATAATTCTGTAGAACTTGAAGAGGTGCAGTTATTCATCTGCAACAGAATGAAATTGTAATTAATTGATTCAAGTGTACAAAATAATCAAATTAATTATTGCTTTTCACCTAATTACATACCTTATTTAAAAAACAACTGGTTTTCTTGGATTAAATGGATCTCTCCCCATTTACTTACAAAACTTCTTTGCAATTCTCTACAATGATGGAACTCGCAAATCATGTAAAAAATGATGATTAGTTTTTACAGGTACAGATAGGAACTTTTATTGCCTGCACATTTTTGTGAAATGTCTATGATAGAATCATAAATCAAATTAGTTTGAAAAACTTGTCATGACATGACCAATTTACAGGTTGATCTACAATATTTGAAACAATAATAGAGAGATATTCTACACACAACCTAAATAATGTTTAAGTTAATTTTTATTATTGAATCTTTTTCATGTTTCGAGCAAACCATATTATACTAAATATCAAGCCAATTTAAAAGGTTAAAATTGTTCAAATAATTGCTGGAACTATGTGCTTTGGGAATTATTATTAATACTTAATATTTACCACTTACCATGTAGAATTTGGCATATGTCTTGTACTTACTTTTATGTTATTTTCATCAATTTTTGTTGTAAATTTACTTTTCAGCAATCAGCAAAAGGTCTTAAGTTCTAGTTCAACATTTAGTTCTTTTAAATATGAATAGAATGTAAAATTATATCTTTATTCAAATTCTATTTCTGTGAATCCATAGATTATGTTTTCTACTGCTTTTTACTTGTTTCACACCTAAAAACAGAAAGTATTAAAAATTGATAAGTTGTTCATATAATGTTCTTCCTATGTAGTTAATTATAACTGTAAAGCTTATTCTTATAATTTAATAAGTTACAAAAACTTCAGAGGTTGGATGTAACTGCTGGTAACTTAGTTTAAATAGAAAAATAAACTATTACAGATATCTTTATTTTTATTAAATCACATATTGTTGATGTGTACTTTTTAATAATAAATTTCGGTCAATTTGTCATTGGAAAGTGAGTCACACTCCCATTTTAAAGTCCGACCCAAACACAACAATAAACAAAGTCTTTTAACATTTGAATAATAATTTTATTTGGTACAAGTTTTCATAAAATCAATTTTAAACTTTAGGAAATAATCACCATGAGTATTATTGCTATGAAGATTGCTGAAGATGAATATATTACTATGAAGATTTTTTTTCGGGGTCTTAATTTATTTCAGTGAGATAATAAAATTGTTTCATATGTTTTCAGTTTTGTCACAGGTATGCTTTTCTAGAAGTTTATTGGAAGAAGTTTTTCTAGAAATACCTTCAAACAAACATATCCATCAAATCATTCGCAATTATAATCTGACTAATATTATAAATGCGGTTGTTTGAATGGATGGATCAATGTTTGTTTGAAGGTATCTCCAGAACTAGTCTAGTCTGGAATAACACAGGCTATTGATATGAAAAGAAAGGGACATGGTATGAAAAAAGTGAGAGAAATGTTATGTCTAAAAAAACTTACAGCAAATCTACTCAGCAATGAGACAATGATAGGCACAATTCCGCTCTTCACAAGCTGTCGTTTGACGTCATCGTTGCCAGCCAACGTTGTTATTCTAAAACAATAACAAAGTTATATTACCATGGAAACAAAGAATATATAAAATCAATTATAAATGGCAACCAAAGTTAAAACGCAAAGTTACTAGTACTCATAACTAATTTACCTTTCTCTTGCTGTAAGATATCAGTACGAAAAAAAAAACAGAAAAAGAAAAATTGCCTAAAGATCCAAGCATATTAAGCATAAAATTCAACCAAAGACCTTTCTGAGACGAAGAAGAACATTACAGGTAGAAATCTAAATGGAACAAGTCAAGAAATGGCTGCAATAGAAAATGGAAACTATCTATCCTTTAGTGACAATAATACTGAATTAAAAACAATACAATATTGGCAGAAACATAATCAAGACGTACTAAAAGATGATATCATAAATGAAACAGATCGTAACACTGCCATCACTAAAAACTGCATAATCAAAGTAAATCAAACATCTTGTAATGATTTTAGTGATAGTACGGATCAATTAAAACATAGAGCAAGACATATAAACTATTGGAAGACAGAATTAGAAAGAGCTTTAAGTGACATTGACGTAGAAATAAACGTATTAGAATCGTTAAGACAACAATTAAAAAATGCTATCGATATATTAAGAATACCTGAATATATCAATGAAGAATGTTTAAATTTAAGACGTAATAGAATGGAAACAGACGCAATATACGATGAACCACAAGACGCGTTATTCAACGAAACAGTATTAATAGAAAATATTAAAAGAATTCATAAAGATTCTTTGAGAGAGATAGAAAATCAAATAAAAATGAACATGGCAGCTAAAAATACATTAGAAAAAGATTGGAGCAACAAACATTTAGCATTTAAATATGAAACTATAAACAGTGAATTAAAAACAAAATCTGAAAATGTGAAAACATCAGGAACAACAAGATTATGTGAAGGACAATCTGACGTTCAATCATGGGAACATTTCACACAATCAGGATTGGAACAATTCAAAAGTGCGATAAAGAAATCTAAAGAATTAAGAATAAAAATTAATGCGGTATTGATAAACACTGCAAGGGATTTACGTTCACAAGACATTAGAGTCAATAAAGCGTTAAGCGACAGAATCGCTCGTACAGAACAAGTAAAAACAGAATTAGAAAATCAATTAAAACTAACATTAGGAAAGATAACAGAGACGGAGAATATTCTGGAAACTCTACACGAGGAAATATTAAAAGTATCACAAAGGGTACAAGTTGCTCAAACAAGATTGAACACTAAATATATAAGACCTAACGTCGAAAATTGCAGAGAAGGTTCCCTCTTCGGTTTAATAGACGAAGTACGAGATCTAAATAATAGTATGACATTATTACAAAACAGAATGTTGGAAACACAGAAATTACGAGCTAATTTAATACATAATAGATCTAAAATAGAAAATGAAATTATAGTAAAAAAGAAATCTCTATATATTGATAATGAAAGATGTTTATTTATAAGATCGCATTATCAATCTGCTGAAAAACTGTGTGGGTTTTAAAAGCTTATAAAATTAATAAACATATATAAAAACGGCTAAACACTCACGTATATTCGTCCGGTGGCACCGACTACGGCCGGCCAAATACAGTGAGGTGGGGGCCGCGTCCGCGCAATAATACCAGTCCCACTCACCCTGATGAAGGACCCCCGATGAGCTCGAAACTAGTTGGTGCCACCGGACAATTATACGTGAGTGTTTAGCCGTTTTTATAAGTTTAGTATAATGTCTCACGAAAGTTTGAATAATCTTATAAAATTGATTATAATACAATGTAAGTATAAAATAAACTTTTAATCTTTGGTTAATTTTTTAATACTCATAACAAACGATTTAGGTAATTGTAATCTACTACTGACATACGTAGTTATCCGAAACAAACATGTTTTATACATGAAATCCACACAAGAATCTCCTAGTGAAATTAAAAAAAGCCCAAGTTACTCCCGCACATATAAGCTACCTTCTAGTAAAAGTCCCGCCATATTTTTTCCAGATATTACGGATATTACCCAAAACAAACGGACAGACAGACCCACAGATAAACTAAAAAAAATGATTTTTGTTACACGCAACTTATATATTGTTAGAGATTTTTTTATCAGCATTACATACAGACATACAAATCTAACTTATATTATAAATACAAAAGTTTGGATAGATTTATATTTGTTAGAATTTCCGAACTGGTAGTGCTGAAATTTGGCATAGATGTAGAACATACCCTGGAAGTACACATAGACTACTAATTAAGTTTTTTCTAACCCAACGCGGAGTCGCAGGCAACAGCTAGTATATACTCACAGCTTAGTGGCTTGATGTACAACGGTGACGTCATCGTAGTTGTCAGCCAGCACAGTGAAGAGAGCAGCAGCGCCGCGCTCCGCCGCCACCGCGGACAGCTCGTGTCGCACCAGCAGGCACGCGATTGTACACATCACATCACTTACCAACGGTGGCTTCATGTTATCTAACACAAATATACTTCACTAGAACATGGAATATTCTAGAAATTACAAGCACAAGAGGAATCTAATACTTGGATTCAACGATGGCATACATCAACCACGACCACAGACAAGTTTCAAGTGGAAGCAATTCTCTGTATAGTCTGATGAATGCATTCCGGAAATCTAATTTTACTCTTCTTCAAGGACAAATGAGAAGAATGGAAGAAGAGGATTAGGCGGTTTGGAGAAGGATACCATACACAAGGCAACCCTCAAGTTAATAGTATTTATGTGTTTCGTCTGATAAGTGTGTGTGCGGGAGGACAAATTCTATTTCTCTTCTTCTTTATCCCATTTTCCAAATAAGAAATGGTGGGATGGGTAAATTAATGTCTCATCGGTCTATTAAACCATCCCAACCCCATCTGTATCCTTTTAACTTATTCAAAATGTCTATGGGCAGAGATCACTTTCCAGAAAATTATTATTTATATTTCTAAAATAATTAATCTAAGATATTGTAAAATAATCTTACTTTCAAGCAATCTAGTCAACGTATCAAGAAGCTCCGCGCCAAGTTCACGAGCATGTTCGTGAGCTTTGCCAAACTCCACGCGCAAGTCGTCGTCTAAAGTCAACTTTCTGATAACTTGTAGGCATTCACTTATTAACTGAAATACACAAACTATTATTACTTTGAGTTGATAATTGTTCACTAAGACCTTTAACATATATTAAGCAACTGACTTTGTAGCCTAAGACATCGGCTTCATGGATTTAAAAAAAAAATCAAAGTCTATGTGTTCTTCCAGACTATGTTCTACATGTATGCCAAATTTCAGCGAAATCCATGCAGCCGTTCTGAAGATATCTTCAGTACTTCAGAGTACAAACGTCCATCCATAAATTCTCATTTATAATATTAGTTAGATTGTGCCAGTTACTTTTCTTTCAGTGACATTTAAATTAATTTAAAAACATTTGTTTTTTTTAGTTTGATTTATTCTAAACGGGTGAAATATCCTTGTTGGCTAGTTCATCGCAAAATCTATTTTAAGTTACTTACCTCTATATTATTAGTTTTATTCAATAAATTGTTCAAATTCCGTCCAATGCCAGCACCAAATATCATCTGTGTGTTCATTTCATGTTTAACACAACACACAGCGGTCCATTTTAATGTTGCTATTAAAATAGATTCATCTTCTATTTCATCTAGATTTCTGAAATCAAAATTTATCTCAAACTAAGCTAGATCTAGACTGGATACTACTGTGAATAGTAACTGAGTGTATCCACCGTTGAAAATTTTTTTTTGAAACATGTTACCACTTCTAAAATAATGTTTCAATATCAGTGTTGCCACAGTACAAAATGTAATAATTAAAATGAAATTGTATGGTAGCTATATTTTTTTTTTCTCTTTAAATTCAGTCATTTTTCACGAGCACCAAAAAAGTATCAAACATGTCAAACTTACTTTTTAATAATTTCAACACCTTTTCTATCCAGCAAATCTGGTTGTGAATTCATTAAAGCGATCAATGTGTTTATTACTTTTATAATAGAAGCAGCATCTTTTTCATTATTAACATTCAAGTAAGATTTCTGTTTTAAATCTAGTAAATTTATAAGCGCAGGATAAATACCCTCTTTGCCTGCTCTTACTCTATGAGCAATATCTTTTTTGCATTCTCTCTGAAAATTGAATAATCTTTGTACATTTTTTTAAGTGTATGATGTCAAACATAAAATCACACCTTATTTCACTAAAATTGCTGCTTGTTAGCCCCCTTCTGTTATAAAAAAAAATAGGAGTTATTATTGCCCATGGGCATCTGCTACAAGTTAAAAAGTAACAGATGAATGCATTTAGGCAATGGTCTACAGTTAATGGACAGAGGAGGGACTCATAATAAGATGGTCTATTCCTCATTGGTATGGGAAGGCTTGCCATATCCACTTTCCCCTTCCCATCCTTTCCTTATATGAAAAGAGGTAACTTTATACTATTAATTTACAAAAATTTATTCTATACTGAGACCAGAGAGCAATTTTGTTTGTAATTTACAATTTTGCAAAGCACGAATAGCCTAATGGTTACAAGTACAAATTTCTAATCATGTGGTCGAGAGTTCTAATACTAGAGGTTACCTTGAATGGTGCAAGTAATATTAGTAAATAATCAAAAAATCTGCTAATTCTTAAAAATATAGAAAAATTATCAATAGAAAATAGTTACCATCAATATATCCAATTGTTCCAAGATTGGTTCATCATTGTTTTGGGCTGCATTTGACAACTCCTTGAGTTTTTTAACAGTTATACTCACTTGATGTTCTTCACCAGTGTTTAAATTTAGATCTTTGATAATATTAGATAAATCCACACCCTGTAAAATAAATTGTATCTATTAGGAATAGTGGGTTTTATTATTTTGTTCCTTTATTCAGCAGAACTATGTATGAGGTGTTATTTAACTTTAATTCTATTAATTATAATTTAAAACAATAAAGATTTCATGAATTTTAGTGTTATTTTTATTTGGGAATTTATTTTACCTGTGCTTCAAATTGAGCAATTGCTTCTTTAATAGCGTCCTCGGGGCTCATATCAAATTCATCCATATTCTCCTTTACAACGTCATCGTAAGTTTCCTGAGTTATCACACGAACCATTTTTACGTTCTAATGAAGTATTTTAGTTATTTTAATTCACAAGATACTTTTTTTCACTGTTAATCAAATTCATTTGAACAGCCGGTGATTCACAGAAGTTTTGAAAACAATTAATTCTTTTTGATATACATGACATTGACAATTGACAAGCTGTCATAGTAAACTGAGCTACTGGAAAAGACTTGTAAATTTTACACATGGTGACATTTCGTGTAGGTAGACCTTATACTCTTTGATTTAGGCTTTCAATATAAAAGAAAGCTACTGAAAAAGACTTGTAAATTGGTAGATTTATGGCAGTTAAATTTGTGACAGATCATTAATTTATTTAGGGCACCTTAAATTTGTATTTCAAAAATAAAATATAGCAACTTATTTATCATGTTATATAGTTTAAAAACTAAATTGTTCTAACTTAAAAAATTAAATTATTTTTAAATTATGCTATTATTAAAAATATAAACAATTTTTTGATACTTAGAATACGTTTTTCGTTGTATCATTATTGCGTTACGTATAATATTACGTAGTCAAAAAATTGACAAATTATTGAGTAATTGCTTAATAAAAATTATTAAAATTTGACCATTAAATTAATATTTAAATCCATTAAAGCATTTAAATGGAGCAATTATTTACGTTTTTTATTAATTAAGAAAATGTTTAGCAAATAATCATAAAATTGGATCTGGAAATAACCAGAGAAATAATTGTAAATTAAACATAATTGAAAGATACATACTATTTACGTTGTTCAAAAAATGTCTAATTTCATTAATTAAATTACATAAAACTAATATATGTACTGAATTTTTCATTTTTCATGCTAATCGCGTGCATACAATTCCTGGACATAATCATGTTCAAGCTATTATTTAAAATTAAAAATAATTGAAATAGAAAAAACATGGCAGTGACACGTGGTTAGACTTAAATGGCGTTTGCATTGACTTCTTTTTCATCAACACTGTAAAGAGGTCCATAAAAATATGAAACCTCCTTGGATGAGATGCTACGTGTTTGCGTGCATTAAATTCATGATATGAATGTGTCCGGGATGATCAACTGTTACAGAACAAGAAAACTTCTCGTCACAACAAAGTTTCTTTGCATTCACACCGGATAATTTTATGCAAGCCAAAATTTAGACGTAATTCCAAGCAGGACATTCAGGTTACGGTAAATAATTGATCAATAGGGTAGACACGACAAAATATTAAAATTGAGCCATTCTAAA